CGGTGCTGGAGGCCAGCAGTCCAAGCTCAAGGTGCCGGCAGGGCTGCACAGCTTCCACAGGTGCCACAGGTGAATCATTCCTCTTCCCCTTCCTCAGCGCTGGCAGCTGCAGGCGTTCCTTAGCCTGTGGCCAGTCTCTGTCTCCGTCCTCCCTGGGCCGCCTCCTCTGTGTCTTCATTTTCTCCTCTTCTCTCTTTTCGGGTCGCTTGCCATTGGATTTAGGGCCCACTTGGATGATCCAGGATGATCTCACCTCAAGAGCTTGAACTTAATCACACCCGCAAAGATCCTTTTTCCAGATAAGGTCACATTCATAAGTTCCAGGGGTTGGGGACATAGACATATCTTTTGGGAGACCACCATTCAACATGCCACAGGGATTCAAAGAAATTGGTGACTTTCCTAGTAGACAGGACCCCAGACTCCGTGCTATCCCTCCACTTTGAAGCAAGATTCAGAGACAGAACCTGGCCCTGGAAACAGGATACTCGGGTTCTTATCTCTGACTCGGGTTTATGGTCCGAGCTGGGTCAACATCCTTCACTTCTTTCTGGGCCTTGCTTTCCTCATATGTGCAAACCAGGCAGCTTATGGCCAACTTAGGCGTGCACACGAGTTTCGTTTGGCTTGCATAGTGCTTTTTTTTTTTTTTTTTAATTGAATTAGTTGCCAGCATTTACAAACTCTGGAAATTTCATAAGAAAGGCTGGATTTCCAACATTTCATGAAAAATCAGTCTGGCCACCCTGGACCCACATTCCTGGAGGCCAGAGTGGAGGAACCCTTGTTCCATCTGGATCAGGCCAACGGTCATGGTCCCTGCAGAGACTTCCTGCTCTACTGAACTCAATTTATGGTTCCTGATTGGCCCGAGGGGATTTGAGTTCTCAAATTGTGGCCTGAATGACCCCAAAGGACTCAAGTGAAAACCAGTGGAAGTTTGGAATGTCATTTCTATATCTTAAAAGAAAGTTCTAGAAGAAAAGAAAAGAGCAGCAGTTGTTAATCATACCTGAATGAGGTGGAGCAAGGAATGAGGTTCTAATGCAGAGGAACAAACAGGCTATGGACCATTAATTTTTTTTTTTTTTGAGACAGAGTCTCGCTTTGTTGTCCAGGCTAGAGTGAGTGCCGTGGCGTCAGCCTAGCTCACAGCAACCTCAAACTCCTCCTCCCGAGTAGCTGGGACTACAGGCATGCGCCACCATGCCCGGCTAATTTTTTCTATATATATCAGTTGGCCAATTAATTTCTTTCTATTTATAGTAGTGATGGGGTCTCGCTCTTGCCTAGGCTGGTTTCGAACTCCTGACCTCGAGCAATCCACCCGCCTCGGCCTCCCAGAGTGCTAGGATTACAGGCGTGAGCCACCGCGCCCGGCTGGACCATTAATTTTTGTGTGTGTGTTTTTTTTTTTTTTTTTTGGTGATAAAATACCCGTAACATGATGTTTACCATTTCAACCATTTTAAAGTGCATAGTTCAGTAGGATTAAGTACTTTCACAATGTTGTGCGACCACACCACCACCTAGTTCCAGAACTTTTTCATCACCACAAAAGGAAACCCAGCGCCCATTGAGCAGCTGCCCCCATCACCCCACCTGGCCACCACTAGTCTGCCCTCTGTCCCTGTGGATTTAAGCGGGCTGTTATTTTGGAGGTGAGATCACAGACACCCTTATAAGCGCAGTATTAAAAGGTCCTCTGCCAAGTATTCCAAGCTGTCTTCCCCTAAATCCTACTCTTTGTCCCTGGGACAAACACAAACATCCCTGTCCTATGCTGAGAAGGAACTATTCTCAAAATGAGCAGATTCTTTTTTTTTTTTTGAGACAGAGTCTCACTCTGTTGCCTGGGCTAGAATGCCATGGTATCAGCCTAGCTCACGGCAACCTCAAACTCCTGGGCTCAAGCGATCCTCCTGCCTCAGCCTCCCGAATAGCTGGGACTACAGGTATGCGCCACCATGCCTGGCTAATTTTTTTCTACATATTTTTAGTTGGCCAATTAATTTCTTACTATTTTTAGTAGACACAGGGTCTCGCTCTTGCTGAGGCTGGTTTTGAATTCCTCACCTTGAGCGATCCAGCTGCCTCGGCCTCCCAGAGTGCTAGGATTACGGGCGTGAGCCAATGCGCCTGGCCCTGAACAGATTCTTCAACTGAAATCAGAATAATTCTTATTCTCGTAAGTAGAGATTTTATGCTATCTTCTGATTGCAAGCAGGGGCCGTGGAGGCATGTGGATACAGATTGGAATTCCGGTTCTGTCACTCGCCAGCAATGGGACCTTGGATGAGTTATTTCACTCCTCTAAACCTCAGTTTTTTCACCTGTAAAGTGGAGATAAGAATATACCTACTCGAAAAGGTGTTGAGAACATCACAAAAGAAAACACACGTGATGCACTTAACATAGTGCCCGGCTGATACGAAGAAGCACTCTGTAAATGCAGCTGTTATAAGGACTACCCCTCAGTCTCTGAAAGCAGTTTTCAAAAGGCTAAAGAGGGGAAAAGAAATCTCTGATTTTCTTTTTTTCTATGATTTTATTTTAAAGAAGATGGTGATCCAAGTTAATAAATTAGACTTGCCAAGAGAAAGCCAATCTAAACTAGATTTTGTGAAATGCTTTGGTTGACCTCATCCTCAGCAAATGCTCCTGTGCTTTCACCTTGCCATTTATTATTTTATTATTTATTTATTTTTGTAGAGATGGGGTCTTGCTATGTTGCCCAGGCTAGTCTTGAAATCCTGGTGATCCTCCCACCTCAGCCTCCCAAAATGTCAGGATTACAGAAATGAGCCATTATGCCTGGCCATTCAAATTTCCACTACATCATACCTCGAGATGGTGCTCTCATTCATTCATTGGTTGGTTCATTCATTCATTCGTCATTGAAATGAGAAAAGTGGCAATCTTGATCTGTTTGCGCCTGCGTCTTCCACCACCCTCTGCACCCACCCCAGACCCTGACTCGGGATTACACCTCTCCTTGGGCAAGCTGAAAGGGACATGTGTGACATTGAGCAAGTCCTCTCTGCCCTCTGCCCAGGAGTCTTCTCTACAAAGCAGGGATGTTGTACCCTGCACTGGACCTGAAATTTTCCATTTTTCTTTCTTTTTTTTTTTTGAGACAGAGTCTTGCTCTGTCACCCTGGGTCATCATAGCTCACTGCAACCTCTAACTCCTGGGCTCAAGTGAGCCTCCTGCCTCAGCCTCCCACAGTGCTAGGACACAGGTAGGAGCCACCACGCTCAGCTGAGATTTTTCTTGCTTCCCTGGGAACTACCTAACAGTGTGACCCCCACAGCTGTAAGGTTTCCACAGAAGCAGCCACTGTGTGGCATGCCACCCTGATCCCTGTTTCCCCAGGGGTGACCATCTGCAGGCAGAGCTGGGTCAGCACATCTGCAACACCAATAAAGAGCGGCAGGTTCTTCACTGGCTTCTGAGTATTGGCTGTGGCCCAAGACTCATGGTCTGGTCCTTCAGACCCATGCCCCGAAGTCCCATAAAGACACAAAAACCAGGGCCTGACATGGTGGCTCACACCTGTAATCCTAGCACTCTGGGAGGCCAAGGCAGGTGGATCACTCAAGGTCAGGAGTTCAAGACCTGCCTGAGCAAGAGCGAGACCCCGTCTCTACTAAAAATAGAAAGAAATTATCTGGACAACTAAAAATATATATAGAAAAAATTAGCCGGGCATGGTGGCGCATGCTTGTAGTCCCAGCTACTCAGGAGGCTGAGGCAGGAGGATTGCTTGAGCCCAGGAGTGTGAGGTTGCTGTGAGCTAGGCTGATACCACAGCACTCTAGCCCAGGCGACAGGGCAAGACTCTGTCTCAAAGAAAAAAAAAAAGTAGCAAGAACCAAGACGGTGAGAATTGTCAGGGTTAAAATCCAAGGGCTCTAGCCTGTGAGCCTCCTTTCTGTTTTCCCTCTCCCCATCCCTCAGATTAAAAATGCCCTCCCGCTTCTTATAAACCCCAGCATACTCTGAGTCCCAAAGTACCGTCACTCAACACAGTGGTCAAATTGTGACTGGCCGACACAGGGACAAGATTTAAGACTTCAAAAGTGGACAGAGAAGATGGATACATCCAGAAAGAACAGGGTGACGAGGGGCATCCAGCATCTCTGTAGACTGAACACACCTCCCGTGTATAGACGCATAAGGGTTAATGACTTGCCCACAGAGCCAGGGCCGGGATTCTCCGCCGGGGCACCAGCCGGTGCTGCTGGAAACTTCTGCAGTACGATATTGCCCCCTGGAACTTCTCTTTCCCCTTGGCACGTGTCTGCAGGGGCATTTTCAGCCTCTCTGCCTCCATCCGCCCCTGCTCCCTGCCTCTGTGGATTTGCCTATTCTGGACATTTCGTGTCAATGAAGTCATACGATCCACCACCTTTTGTGTCTGGCTTCTTTCACTCAGCAGAATGTTTTTCGAGGTTTATCCACATTGTAGCAAGTATCACTACTTCATTTCTTTTTATGGCTGAATAACAGTCCATCCCGCGGATAGACCGCATTTTGTTTATCCACTCATTCTTCGGTGGGTATTTGGGTGCATTCTACCTTTCGGCGATTGTGGATGGGGTGGAGCTTCCTGAGTCTGCTCCTTTTTTCCCCCAGTGCCTAGAAAGGTGCTGACCTGGGGAATATAGGATGCTCCAGGTGTTTCTGGTTTCCATCCTCCCGGGTGTGGATAGTCAGGACCAAAGGCTTGCAGATCCCAGACCAACAACAGAAGCCAATATGAGGGAGGAAGGGAGGGAGGAGGGGCCCAAGCAGGAGAAAAGCTTTCTATTTTCTACCTTTTGTGCTTGCAAAATTGAATCACGATGCCTGGCCACTAGAGAGACTTATTTATAAGCCCAGTTCTGGGAATGGAGGTCATTTATCATCGGACAATAAAAAGGCAAAATGATGCATTAAGGATATTGGGAGAGTCACAGTAAATCAAAACTAGGCGGGGAAGGCAGATCCTACTCACCCGGCGGAGCTCCAGGGAGAAAGTCATTGAAATCCAACTGCTTCCCCACAAAGGACTTCATTAAATTGTCGAAATTACCAGGAGTCTACTGCAAAAAAAAAAAAAAAAGCAAGGGGAATAAAGTCTCTTTGACTGTTGAGGCAATTTGGAAGACATCAAATTGCAATTAAGTTCATTTACTTACGAGGAGACAAAGTGTGAACACCCCGTGGGGACCGCCAACCGCCTTTTGCAAAGAAGACGGCGTTTTGCTCGCGGAGGTTCCCTGGGGACCGCCCCGCTCCCCGGCGAGTTTGGCGGCTTCGGCGCGCCCTCTGGCGGCCACGCGCGGAAGGGTTGGCAATTGCCCCCGTTCCCGCTCAGAGGGGCGGGGCCCACGCGTGGTTTCGGCCACTCAAGGGATGCGCGAATTAATTCACGTTTAAGCTGGAAAGTCCGTCTTAGCATGTGCCGCTTAGAGGTTCAGGGAGGGCTATCTGGGTCAACCGATTTTAAAAATTGTAATTACAGTATTGATTGTGATTATAACTGCAAAAGAGTTTTGAGACCATAAATGGAAGAGTCAGTTTCTCGGACCAACTTTCTCATACCCAGATGCAATTATCTGTGTATTTCAGAAAATTCCAGGGTTTTCCTATGCATGCACTAGCATGTCCTCACCCCCAACCCCCGACCCCTTTTTAATCCCATAAATTTACTGTCCAGCGCTTTTCCTCCTCCATCCCTCCTCTTCGCAGGTGTGTGTTGGGTAGATTCCCACCTGAGCACAAGCAGGTAGATTTTCCGACGGCCGTGTGCATCCTGCATTTCACGGATGTACCATAACTTACGAATCAGTCCGCTGTCGACGGACGACACAGATTGCCGCTGCTCTTTTAAAAATCGTTAACGGTGGTGCAGCAGTGAGCACCTGACACCTGCGTCTTTGCACACCTGTGTGCATATTCCTGGCTGGCAGTGGGAAGGGCACATTGCCTGGAAATGACGAAGCCGAAGAACTGCGGAAGCCGGCGGCAGCGCCGCTCCGCTCCCTTCCTTTCGCAGGCAGAGAGCACCCCCTGCGTGCGGGGTCCGGAGCTGCCTGCCCCAGCCGGAGGCGCCGCATTCCGTCGGTCAGAACCCAGTCACATGACCACACCGGCTGCGAAGGCGTCTGGGAAATGTAGTCTTTATTCCAGATGGCCGCGTGCCCACCCTAAAATTCAGACAGGGGGAAGGCGGGGATTCGTTCTTAGGGACAAGGGGCCCTCTGTGTGCAGGGGCGACCACGGGGAGTGAGATGAGATGCCAGAATCACGTGCTCATTCATTCTGAGGGCGATCTAGCAGGATTTGGTGATCTGACAGGGGGTTGGGGGAAAGGAGCACGCGGCCGCTCATGACTTGTTAGGGTTTCGGAAGGCGCCCTTGGCCCCCTCGGGTACTGAGCTGCACCCCTCCTTCTCCAGCACACGCGAGCCCCCAGCCGTTCTTTGCTGCCCACTCCTTCAGGCTGCTCTCCAGCCTTAAATATCCCGACTGCCAGCTGCTGTTTCCTTAGGACACGGAAACTGATTTTAGGGTCAGCCGTCGCAAACCCCGATCTTGGAGCAGATCGGCTGCTTCTGCTGCGGGCGAGGGCAAGGGCTTCGGAGTCAGACGGAAAAGCCCTTTGGCTTGCCGGCCTACCTAGGGACCTCTGCGCGCCGCAGCCCAGCTCTACCGTGGGGTTAAAAATTACTACTCCCCCCGCCTTGAATTTGGAAAACATCATGTTCACTGTCATTTGCTTTTTCCTCCACCTGAGATGCTTTTGCTTCACGTCTCTGCTCGATTGTCACCTCAGCAGCGACAGATGGCGACTTCCCTGTGTAAACTAGCAGCCCATTCCACCCTGCTTGGGTGCAAAATCAACCAGTTTGATTTTCTTCATAGCACCTCTCATCACCTGGCAAATGATCTATTTACTTGTCAAGTAGTTTATTGTATCTCCTCTCCCCTTTGATAGAGTAAAAGACCCGTGGGGGCAGTGACTTGTGTATTTTGGTCACGGCTGTATCTCCAGTGCCTAGAAGAGTGGAATGCCTGACATCTATTTGTACAGTGGCTGTCAGCCAGGGTGGAAGGGCCAAGGTGGAAGTCTGGGAAATAGACCCTTCAGAATCAACTTTCTGAAAAGTAATTTTGCTTGATTCTCTCTTAGAATTAAGAGAATAAATAAATAAATAATTTAAATTTAAAAATTAAAATATATTATTTCTTTCTTCATATTTTTAGAGACAGGGGGAGGGGAGTCTCGCTATGTTGCTCAGGCTGGATTTGAACGCCTGAGCTCAGGCAATCCTTAGCCTCCCAAGTAGCTGGGATTACAGGCCCGTGCCACTGTGCCTGGCTGATTCCCTTTCTATATGTTTATCCTAAGGATAGAATCCAGGAATGTAGACAAATATTTAGAATAGAAGTTGGCACACTTTTTCTGTAAAGAGCCAGCTTGTAGATATTTGAGACTTTGTGGGACATAAGGTTTCTGTCGCAACTACTCAATTCTGCCTTGAAAGCAGCCAGAGACAATATGTGCATGAATGCCTGTAGCTGTGTTCCAATAAAACTTTATTTAAAAACACAGGCAGCAAGCTGCATCTGGCCCATAAGCTGTAGTTTGCTGACTTAAATTTAGAACAAAATGCCAATTATAATGGCGAATGTTCCAAATATACAACTGGGAATTACTTAAATTACACAGCATCCATAAGATGAAAAATGATGCAGCCATTAAAAAATAAATTTTTTAAAGAAATCGCAATGTATTCGGTGCATAATCTTGTAGATGAAAATCAGTCTAGCTATTAATTAAGACCCTGAACTCCGGAGTAAGAGAAATCTAAGCTTGAATCTAAACTTGGGCACTTCCTGGGTATTTGACCTTTAGCAAATTAACTTCTGGTAAATCTTTTCTCATTTGAAAAATGAAAACAGAAATATTATGTATCTTGTAAGGTTGTTGAAAGATAATGCATGTAGCATGTCACTTAGCATATAGTAAGTGCTTAACAAATAATTGCTCTCAAATGGGGAATTCAAAGTGGATTTAATTTTATAGGTTCATGGGTTACCAAAGCTGGAAGGAAACCTTGAATGGTAAGTCCCTCAAAGTAGATGCTCAGGAAATATCTTCCCATCTCAGTTTCTAAAAGGCTAGGGAAGGACTGTGATTGGTTCATTTTGAATCAGATGACCACACTTTGGACCAATCATTGTGTCAGAAAGTTGAAGTGCTATGGTTTGGCTCAGACTTGCTCTTGTGCCTGCACCTGCAACAGGTAGGACAGCAGTACAAACT